TTGACTTTCTTAAGATTATTCACATGAGTTGGATGTTAATATGATTTGCATGATCTTGATATGATTGCTTACATGATCATCCTAATGAATTTATTAGCCACTTGCATTAATAATTAATTATCATGCATTTGTATAAATTAGATGTACTTTAGTTACTGAGTAGTTGTACTCACCCTTCTCTTTTAACATATTATAGAAGCTAGCTTATTTGAGAAGAACGGAGGAAAAGAGTAGTAGGTCAAATGATAATAATCACTTCTGTAAGCCTTTCTCTTTTTATTTTGATATGCATATTTAGTTTATGATATTACTAATTAGGATAATATATTCTTGATCCACTTACATTATGAGTTTTGTATTAGATGAAAATATATATTAGGTCCTTGGGTATGTGATTTGGTGCTCATATTTATATTAATAGGCTAAAATATTTATGTAAGTAAAAATAGTTATTATATGCATGATTTGAGAATTGAAATATTGTTATGGTCTCCCCTTGTGCTTTGGTGTCTAAGGATGAGTGGTTGGTATTAATTATATATAAATGAAAAGAAAAATTCATACATATAATGAGTTATTTGATGATAGATAATATATAGAGTATGATGGCTAATTGATAATTATTGCAATAAATGTGATTGAGACCTTGGCCCCCCGCTACCAGTTATGGAAGGGTTTGAGTGGCCAAGTGTTATGTTGGTAAATATATATATATATATATATATATTATGTAGAGCAGGGGACAAAGAGAAAATAAGAGGGGAGTTTTCTCTTATCTTGAGATGTATTTCTTAATGATGCTTCTGCATATATTTAATTAAATGATATGAGTTCTTGAAATATTTTAAAGACTTAAGATCCTTTTATTTTTAATAGTTTGTGAAAATACATGTTAAAAATTTGTTTAGGTTAATCTCCTATAAGATAATCATTTTAGGTTAGTCCTTAATTAACCACAGTTAGTGTGATGATTTAAGTTCTAATTTAGGGCACCCATTACAATTAGTTCCCACAACACATCCCTACCAGGAGAGAATCTAGCCAAATTCCTCCACCAATGCACCTTATCATTCCCCAAACGAGGACCATGCACAAATGAGATATCACTAAAAAAAATCTCAAACATATGTAATATTATTATGAATATAAATAATATTCAGAGACACAAAATTCATCCACCATAAACTCAATCTACCAAATCTACTAATTGTATTCACATGAACATCAAAATCAAAACCTAGTTTCCTTCTAATTTTATCCACTTTCTAACCTTCCATTTTTGTTTTAGATAGAAGAATTAAAGAATGTTCTAATTTCTTGATATGGAAACAAAAATGTATAATATCAAGGTAACCCCCAACCCCCGACAGTTCCATGTTAAGCAAATCATGGTGAATTGAATAGCCAGCCACCATGCCCTCCCATAGACCTCAAATCATATCCCCTATTCGCAACCCTGAAATAAGAAGAGTAGGAATTCCATACCTCCATATTCAAGTTATAATTTTGAACTAAATGAATAAGGTTTATTGGAGAGTAGCCTTCAATCCACATGACCTTTCCATATACAAGAACTATTCTTCTGAGAAACTTTAGTACCTTCTAAAAATACTGGTTCATCTCGATAACTAAATCTTCTTGTATTGTCAACCTTACCAGGAGAATCTTCTTCATCAAGCTTTAATTGTTTAGCTCTGGGGGAATAAAAAATTTCCATTATATTTCGCTTAATACCTAACACCTCAAGACATCCAGTAATATCTTCAAAATGAATAGACCTAATTGCTAGAATTCAATCCTCATTTATAGTGTCTACCTTGACATTACCAGAAATACACCACATATAACACATTATTATGACATAGCAAGCACACTTGATCATTTTTTTGGCATTATGCCATGACATACACATTTTACACTGCAGCGTAGAATGCAAAATTTATGACAGCAATATGTTATCATAACATACTTTTTGACCAAACTTTTGGCATACTTTAATTTTCATCCGACGTTCGATTAAAGTGGTTTAAGTGTTTATGGAAAGCTCATTTAGTAAACTAACTAATGGCACTAGTCTCATTTTCAAGTTTTATCATATCAAAAAATTGGATACTTAGGACCAAAACTATTACTTTCTCATACTTTTCAACTTTCAAAGTGTTCAAAACTCAACCAAAGTATTATTACCCTACACAACCACTTAAATTATATTTAAGGGACTCAACATCACTTGTACAACATACTACAACACACATATATATCAAAAATTACATTTTTACTCCTCAACCTCAAATTTATCAAAAGTAATGAGGGAGGTCATCATCATTTAAGTAATAACTCTCAACCTTTAAAATAACCTTAAATATACTTGCACTAATATTTTGGCCCTAAAGCAATATGATTAACTAATAGAAATTTACCAAGGGCACAAAATACTAATAATCAATCATAAATGCATGCAATGGTGCAAGTAACACAATAGTCATCCCAATTGATAATATCACAATAATTACACATAATTCAAAAGAAAAACAAGGCATTATAATACCAAATTATTTTTCTAAGCCTTAAGAGCCTTTCCATCATCTTATTCAGAGTTAATGCTTGTAAAATATTAAATAAGAGGTGAGTACAACCCCTCAATAACCAAGATAGTCTAAAACATGCTTATATAAGTCAAATAATCATAGGCATGCAAAGTGAAAAATTATAAAATGGTTTAGCAATATTAATCACACATTTCAATATAGTGAATGATTATCTATCTCCACCAATCCTCCATTACTGCTGATTAAATCCATGGTCTACACAATAAATAGGTGCTAGACTTACATGACTAGGCTAGTCCAAGCTCTACAATCATAAGAGGGACTTGGCCAAGACCCCATACTTATTTTCAGACTATGGATTCTCCCATCTCGAACATAAGAGTGTCACAAAATCCTACTGCCAACTTTGCTAGTTAGACACAAATCATCATTCTATTAAGGTGAACTCCCTCTATCAATATGATCATGCAAACATATCACATTATAAATCACATAGCGTATCCAATTATCATCGTCATGCTCATTTTCATCTTCCCCATTTAAAGAGTTTAAATTATCATTTTAATATTTTACAATTACTTTAATGTGCAAACCTCACTTGCATATTTTCAAAATGGAAGCAATATGTGAATTCACAGAGTTATATATATAATGGAACAAAATGTTAATTCATATCAACAACAGTGAAGACAAGTTGCGTACATATCTCAGACCAAATGGCACTTCCAAAAATAAGCCTCTCCTGAATTCAAATCTCCAACGCAATTCGCTTCTTCACCAGGACGTGGGATGTTAATTAGATATGATTCATTAAATAAATGAAGGTTAAATTATATAAAACTCTCCTAAACTTTAAACCATATACAAATAATCCCTTTCACCTTTAAAACTTAATAATAAAAACCCTCTTGAGCTTTTAAGCTTATGCAAATAACCCATAACCATTAATTATATATCCCTTTAAACTTTATTTTTAGGTATATTTAAACCCTCAAACTTTGATTTATATATGAATAATCTCCCTAAACTTTAAGTTATATGTGAATAACTAATGTATAAAATTAATCATGTAAAGTTATCTGCACAAATATAAGAGTTGATGTGGTTCATCGTAAAGTTTCAAAGGTTAAGGAGATTATATGTTCGTAATTCAAAATTCAGAGGAGTAATATATAATTTAACTTTAAATAAAATGATCAATAAAGAAAAAAGTTTCAATGCTAGCATTGCATCGACTCTGTCCTCTTAGAATGACCAACTAAAAAGAAGATTAAAATTTCAAAATTAAACCATCAGAAATAAGCGAGGGCCAATAAGTTCATACGTGCCGATACAAAAATTTGTTGAGTATGCAGTATTTTTTAATATAAAGGATCGAGTTTTTTTTTTTTTTTTGGAATGATGATCTAATTATGCGGCATGACCATCAATCCTTAAAACATAACATTTTCATTTTTAAAATTAGTATACAAATATCAACAATGTATTATAATTCACGTAATAATGTCCTATAATTTAGTTTAGTTCTTTACTTAGGTGATAAGAGAACATGAAGAGAAATAAAAGCGGGGGTAAGTATTTCTCAAAGAAACACAAGATTATATTTATGGCAAATGATGCAATTTGTTAACTTTACTGAGACCACGCTAGTCTCCACATCCCTGCACAAATTGAAAAAAAAAAAAAAAACTGTATTACTTTATTGAAATTTTAAAATATTTGTGTAGGTTTTTTTTTTTTACCATCTATTTGTGTTGGTTTAAAATGATGAAATTTTTTTGTAAGATTTATTAAAATTTAACAAAATTATTTTTTATCTAATATTAAATATAGAAATTATAAAATTGATTGAAATATAGTGGAGTATTATTTTTATAAGCATTAAAACATCGCCAAAAAAAAAAACATCAATATTATCGAACCAGCTTGAATTATCATTTATTTTCCCTCCCGTAACTTTTGATTATACGAATTTATTTTACTTTAGCCATTTCTTCATATCTGGCACCAAATAAAGGAAATTGAGTGATAAATATACCTTTTTGTTAACAGTAAATTACGCAATTTAAAAAGGATAGTTTGGTATATACAAGAAAAGAAAGCTCCGTGGTACCCTTAAATAGTTAGATTAAATTATTTCATGGCCCGATAAAGTGCAACGTAACCCAGAGACAACCTCTTATATTGGGTCCCACACAATTAGTGGGTGCCAACCACGTGTCCAAGATCTCATCCACAATTTCTCACAAAATATCTCCTCCCCCACTCCAAAAGCGCCACGACGTTCTTCTCTCTTCCAGCTATTCGCCACATCATTTGCATGTCTTCCAAGTCACATCCCATGTGTATCATCTTTCACCGTAGATCTAGTTGATCGTCACTACTGGCCGTTGACTTATCATAGATATTATTTGTGGACGCCGTAATTCTCGTAATTCATGTTTAAGACTCCGACCTCACGAACTACCAAGCTCTAACCCGCAGATTCTTCGGGAAATCTGTGCTCATCCTCATTCGAAGATTTCGTCCCGACACCATCGCATCTCAATCTGACATAGGTGCTCTCTTTTCACCCACAAAGCCCTATGCAGTTATCTATCTTGAAGTATGTGCCAATCGTTTGATCGTCGCATCGGTTAAGTTTCTACCGAAATCTTGAGGCTTTGAGGGGCTTCTCAACTTTTTAGCGGCACTATTTGGTACCTTCTGTCATATGTTTTGTTTGTTAATTTTGTTGTGTCAGTGTTTCTTTGTTGTCTTAGTAGAGATTGATCGATAGAGAAACACAGATAACGGTATCTTAGTTCCGGTAATGTTCTGTGCGTGAAACTTGTAAGTGAAGGATCTACACTCTTCAGCTGCTGATTCGCGTTCTTTTATGTTCTATTGTCTATAGAAATTGCGTTTCAATCTGTGAAGTACACCGTACACTTTTAGCAAACATTCTGGTAAACAAAAGTTAAATTTGGTTTGAGGTATTAATGTGCATTGTTTTTGTTGATTGGCAAGGCTACAGTCTTCAGCTAATTTAGCTAGATAGAACCAGTGATTTATAATGCTATTAGTAAGTTAGCTGAGAGAATTTCGTTACATGTAATCACTTTCTTCCTTTGGTACGGTGAATTTTATTTCATTTTTAAATACAGTTATATTTGGCAGTCGTTTGTAGCCTTATGGGCCATAGAGTGTCATTCATATTTCATGGTGGCGGAGTACGTAGGTAATTTTCAATATCTGATTTCTTTTGGATGAGTGTATCAAGCTTTTTATTAGTTTATGATCTTGTGTGATAAAATGGCAACTCCATGGCGGAAAAGCTTACATAGAAAATTTATCTGCATTTGTAGGCTCTGTTCGCGAAAGATCTGCCTGTTAATTTCAGTATTTAGCTTAAACAATTTGGTATGGGAGTTGTGACTGTATCTAGCTCAGCTGCTCGTACTCCTTTAGGACTGAGCACAAAATTTTCAAGTCATTGGCCTGCACTGAAGAAACCCGCAATTTTAGCATTTAAAGGAGATAAATCCAATAATACAGCCTTGGTTGCACCTCAAGAGCAAGTTCCTCTGCTGATAGAAACCGCCAAGGCACACCGTAAAAGGATAGTGAAAACTAATAAATTGCCAAAGAGAGTGAAAGCTGTCTTTACTGATGAAGCATCTCCATCCACCTTGGATGTGGATTATAATGAAGCTGCTGCCAAACTTGAAAATATATTCAAACTCAGCCCTGTCTCTGATACTTGTATCGAGGAAGATATAGACAACGGGATCAAAACAGCCTCACGGAGAAGGAAGAAGACTGATAGCGACAATCAGATAGATAATGACAGTGTGGTTAGAAGCCAGAATAAGAAGGTCAAACGACTGAGTCTTGACAAAAGAATTGCATTAAAAAAGAACAGAAAAGAGGAGGTGGTTGTTCCGAAAAGAAAGAAAAGAAATGTGAAGAGTAGAGCTGAGAAAATTGAAGAGCTTGTCAGGGACTATTCTGCAGCAACCGATTTAGTCAGCTTGGACTGGAAAAAAATGAAGATACCCCCAGTTCTTCCCTCTACAGAGCATACTTGGCTGTTCAAATTGATGCAGCCTATGAAGGTGAGTTGTGCTTTTAATTTTTTTTGTTTTTAAGAAATAGCTTGCATTCATTTTTGTTCTGTCTTTCTTTCTTTTTTTTTTTCCTTAAGCTAAAAAAGTGTAGCTATTTTCAATTCTGCATGTCGAGTCATTTAACCTAAGGGCTTTGGCTGCTAGATTTTATTTTAACATGTTCATCATGTTAGAGCCTCTTGACTTGTCTTTACAAATTCCTGTGGTGGAAATTAATTTTACGTGGGAATGGAAGCAACATAGATCAAATCCTGACTTAAATTCATTCTAACATTATTATTTAGGCTCTCCTTCCTGTAAAAGAAGATTTACAAAAGGATCTTAAAAGAGAACCAACAGAGGATGAACTAGCTGCTGCAACAAACACGAGCAGCATTCAAGTGAGAAAAACAATCGAAGTTGGTCGAGCTGCACGCAACAAGCTTATAAAGGTAACTAAAATGTTCAGCTCTTTATCTTTATCTGTCTAAAGAGATTGGCTTTGGCGATGGTCAGGAATATTTTGTCTGCCTTAATTTCTTTTAGATTCCATTATTTTGGAGTGATTTATTGATTTTCTATGGTAGAAGTAATGCATTAAGACTTAATAAATCATATTGTTACCCGTTGCAGCACAATCTCCGACTTGTCTTGTTTGTGATCAACAAATATTTTCAAGATTTTGCAAATGGCTCGAGGTTCCAAGATCTTTGTCAGGCAGGAGCGAGGGGACTTATAACAGCAATTGATCGTTTTGAGCCAAAAAGAAGATTTCGGCTATCCACATATGGTTTGTTTTGGATAAGACATGCCATTGTTCGATCCATGACCCTCGCTAGCTTCACTCGTGTACCCTTTGGACTTGAATCGGTATGCTTCCTTCCTACATAAACTAGACGTTAAAACTTTGTGTGAGGTAGCGTATCATTGAATTACCATTATTCTCCTTTTTTTTAGGCGGGTAGCATTTTTCCCCATTTAAACAGACTCAAGCCCCATAGCAGTTTTGAAATGCCAATTTTTTTTTTTTTTAAATCATCCATAGGGTTGCAGTTCAAATAAAGCAAAATCCATGATTGTGTTCATTAGCCATTAGATTAGACCTGATTTTACATGAAGACTAATCTATCAAAGCTGAAAAACATCTTATATGGCTGTCGATACCCCTGCACAAAATGGCTATGAAAAGATCCACAGCTATGCAGACCTACGTGACATAACTTGGCTGTGCCTGAGTAGCATCTGCTCATGACTTCAATACTTGTGATTTGAGCAGGTTAGGGTGGATATTCAGAGAGCAAAACTTGAGTTAACATTTGAGCTTCAGAGATTACCAACAGAGGAAGAGATAATAGAAAGAGTTGGGATTTCTCCTGAAAGATACCATGAAGTAATGAAGGCCTCGAAACCAATACTTTCCCTTCATTCAAGGCATGCAACCACCCAAGAGGAGTTTATAGATGCGGTCACTGATTTTGAAGGTGTTAATGGCGATGGCAGGAGGCAGCCTGCTGTTCTTAGGCTCGCTCTTGATGATGTGGTATGGCCTAATCTCCAAGAATTCTTCCTTGATGCCGTATAGCTCATTGTAATGGGTCATTTTATAGAATTATGACTATAGTCATAGTTAGATTATGCGTATTGAACATCCAAAAGTCTGTTGAATTTGAGATTTGTGAAAAGGTCTGCGCTTTAGACGTTTTAAGAAGTATGATTAAAAAAAGCCTTGTTTCTCAGTGGTAATACTTGGGACTAATCTTTGAACGTTTCTGCTAGCTTGATTCCCTAAAGCCGAAGGAGAGCTTGGTGATCCGGCAAAGATATGGACTTGATGGTCAGGGAGACAGAACATTAGGAGAAATCGCTGGGAACTTGAACATTTCTAGGGAAATGGTAAGGAAGCACGAAATCAAGGCTTTGATGAAGCTCAAACATCCTGCTCGGTTGGACTATCTTCGTCGTTACGTTGTATAAACTGACTGTGTAGTATGTATAATGTATAAGCTTCCCTTCTAGAATTGCCTGTCATGGCGGCCCCACGTTATGCGGTCATTGTCATTGGCGGCAGGTTGATACTTGATTATTTGTACCAGTCATTTAAGCATACCCAAAAAAAAAAGAAAAAATCTAAACTTTATACCAATGTAATATGTGAAGGACTTGAGATTGCACATAAATATACACATAACCATATATACCTGTCACATCACTGGATGGTCCTTTTCAGTGTCGCACACTATACATATTCCCTCTGTCTCTGTGTGTGTGTGTGTGGCGCGCGGGGGGGGGGGGGGGGGGGGGGGGGGGGGGGGGGGGGGGGCCTTAATTTGTGTTCAACACAACCAATAGAATTTCGGCTCAGGCTACGGATGTGTCCAAGCTCATTAAAACTTAGGTCCAAATTGAGCAGCCTACTGGACTTATGGTTTCTTGGGCCCAATATTGGACATTTTAGCGTTTGCATCTGCCTGGACATAAGCCCGAATTACTTGAATCTAGAGGTGTTTAATTTGTACCCATTTTAATTGGCCCAGTATCATTCCAATGGGTCTCGTCCTGACCCAAAAATAATCTGGACAAGATTTTGTAGGATAGGATATGAAGGGGTTTTGAAACGGGATGAGACACAAGATTACTATCAGAACATCACGTCCCGTCCTGAATATTTTATATATATTATTTTTAAAAAAAATATATACATTAAAAATATTAATTATATTAATATGATTTATATTATGTTAATTATATCAATTATAATTTTAATACATACAATTTTTATTTACAACTAAAGTTTTTTAAATTGATAAGTTTAATAACATAGAGTAAACATAACAATATCTTTCTTTATAATGTATTCATTATATTAATATAATTTATTTAATGACTTTTACTTATATTATATTTCTTACTTTATTTTTGATAAAATAATTAGTTTAGCACATCTCAACTAAAATAGAAGAACAATGATTTAATGTTGTACTTGGATTGCCTATTGTTGCTACTCCTATAGCCTGAAAATCACTTATAATTACTATTATAATGTGTAGTTATAATTAATGTAATTCAATAATTTACTTTAAATTGCTATGATTTATGTACTTGTATTGTTTTGATTTTAAACTTACTAAAATATATGATTTAAAATTTTAATGAATGTTATTATTCAGATCTTTTTTCAATATTATGCGTTTTATCAGGATGGTGGGACATCTCGATCTTGTCCCAGTCCCGTCCCAATTCCTAGTGGGATGAGATAACTTTCGGGATAAGACAAGACAAAGATTGAGTCTCGATCTTTTTTGAAACAGGGGTGTCCTAATTCCGTCCCTTCCAATGAACACTCCTACTTGAATCTTTTATGGATATCAAAGGAAAAACATTAAATCTTTCGAGTCTAAAGTTGCAGAGCACCAACCTTTTTTTTGGTGGGGGGTCTTTCGAGTCTAAAGTTGCAGAGCACCAAGCTTTTTTTTTGGAGGGGGGGGGGAGATAGCCATAGTAGTATCTCAGGATTGGATGTATGATTTGACTTATGAAGCTGCAAGGATAAAGGGACAGAAACAGCACTTATGTTGTGGTTGGAGGGTGACTTGAATCCAGGTAAGCTGATATAGTGGAGTTAGGCAAAGTGAGTCTGGAAAACAGGAAGAGGTTTCGGCTTTGATGAGTGGGAGAACATGTTTCATGAAATGATTCCTGTGAAAACAACATGCTTGCTCTGTTGCTCATTTGCATCATTTTTTGTCAACAAACTTAAAAGCTATTGCTTTGTGGGCGTGCCTGTTTTCACATCCATTGTTGTCCCCCCCCCCCCAGTTATCTCCCGTTTATCTTTTGTCTGCGGATGCCGGTGGATCTTGGTCTTAGATACTTCCATCTTTTCATCCTGAGTTGTTTTTGACTAAAAAATAAATAATTTACATGTGATTCAAATTGTTTTCTTTTATTTTGAATCATGAAATGAAATTAAGACTTACCTCCTAAATTATTGAGTAATAAAAAATCTGAGATGTTGAGAGGCAACGGTCGAAGTAGTTGTTTTTTTTCCCCCAAAGAAACATGGAAATCAAAGTCTCAGTTTACAAAAAAATATGACAGCGATCAATTAACCAATTCCTGTTCTGGCAGAACTAACATCATTTCGCAGTAAAATAGCTAAGGGGGATGATGGGATTTGAAAGGCAATATACATATAGTTGGGCAAATAAAGACGAAATAGCTCATTGATTTTTATGCAGCAATCTTTTTATCATAATTTTGATTAAAACAGCTTAGTTAAAGAAAATAGATAAACTTAGTTTGTATTTAGCTAACCATTAAAGAAGAAAAAAAAAAATTGAAAGATCAGAGCAAATCAATCAGTTGGAGGGGGTCGGAGGTGGAAAATTTTGAATGGAATTGAGCAGCAGCCAACAAGAGAGATTTGCTGGAATGGGGTCGGAGTCTCCCAGCACATATATCCACCCAATGTGGCCTCTCTCTCTCTCTCTCTCTCTCTCACACACACACACACAGAGGCTTTTAATCTAGTCAAGTCTTTGATTCGATGAATTCTGTCGGCCAACCATGAGCTACAATACAATACAAGCCATCCTAATTCTTCATCTTGGTCTCTTAATCAGCTCATGCACATTTTTGATAGCTGACAGATTCTAAATTTTATTTTGTCTGCCTTCAAAACAATCAATCCCACCGGAATGAACAACACCTATCAAATTATCAAAAATAAAATTTATTAAACTTTTACTCAGTAATGTTTTTTCGGACCAGCAAATTGGCTGGGGATATTAAATTAATGAGATTCAATAAGGATGTATAAATCTTCATGCATGTTATAAAAGGCACCTTTGGTTACTATCTTGGACATCCCATCAAATCTATTTTCACCAGTAGTTTTTAATTCCTATTTGCACGGTCCGTGGGTCCCTACACGTTATGCATTATTGAAAAAATGAATCATGTACTTTAAATATAATTAATGTGTTTGCATTTTTAAATTGGGTTAATAAACAAATAAAATCTTGACTCTTGCTTAAAAATTATCCTAAATTCTAAACTCTTAAAATATATAAAATAAATTTTAAATTTTTATATTCATAACAAAATAAACCCTAACCATTAATTTTTTTAACACTATTACTGTCCATGTAGGTACTGTAACAGTCAGGGTTAAATTTATAAGATAAAAAACTTGAACAGTACCTATATGGACAATAATAATATTAAAAAAATCAACAATCAGGGCTTATTTTATTATAAATTTAAAAGTTTAAGATTTTTTTTATATATTTTAAGAGTTTAGAGCCTATGATAATTTTTCAGCAATAGATCAAGATTCAATTTACTCATTAACTTTTTTAAATTTTATATAAACTATTTTTATTTACAGCATTATGTTTGTAATCTATGCATTATACAAAGTTAGAATAATGAATCGCATTAGTATTATCTATGATTCATAAACAGTGTGTTTTTTCAAAGATTTATTATACTATCATGCATATATCCTCTCAATCAAAATTGAATATGAAATTTCAGACACACACATATTATGAACGTTAATTTATAGGGACTTTTGCAAATATAACTTGTGTTATAGAACCAAACTAAATAAATAACTTAACATTTATTATATTTTATTCTATGGTTAGATTATTATATTTATCAATAATATATCGTTGTATATAATAATAAATTGATTATAAATTTTAAATTTTCAGCAATAAACCTTTTGTATCAATAACAAAGTATTTATACATTAATGTAAACAAGTCATACTTTTAAATTTTTAAAAACTTAATTCATATTTTCTAGATATACTTTTTTTAAACCAACGGGCCAATTTATCCAAATCATGTTTTCTTAATTTTATCCAATTTTCAACTTATCCATATATCTCTTCGTCACGTTTTCTTATATTATATTTTATATATTTCCCTTCTTGTTATATTATTTTCTACTCTCTTCGCTATTATTTTGATAATTTACAAAATATGATGACGTCAAGAAAATTTCCTGTAGCAACTTTTTTACGAGGATGATTTCGCTCGCCTGTGCAACTAAACCATTGAATCTGTTGTTGTTAAAAAAAATGAAAAAGGAGTTTGGGGGCAAAACAAGGAAGGAAACATCCATTAGTTAAGACATTTGAAGTTAGGAAAGGAAAAGGAAGGCAGCAGAAAATGATAAAATTAGATAGTGGCTTTGCATATTATTAACTGAATGATTGTCACTAACTATAATTTTGATTGGTTAGTTTGCACAAAAGTTAGAAAACAGTATCATTCTTTTCTCACCTGCTTGGTGGGAGTAGAAGTTAATAATATAGTGTTTATTCAGGGCCACCCTTTTGATTGTCACATCCTTTCCACCACGGGACAGGGGAAAGGAACACGAAATGAAGGACTATGGAATAATATTAAAGAATTACACTCGGATCCAAGTAAAGGAAATAATTATTGTTTCAATTTATTTACAAGCTATGCTTTTATATTTACATATGAAATTTTAGTATTTACAAGTGGATGGGACTTGTTAGTGGTTAATTTTCTTATTTGAAACCCATGTGTAATTCTCCCTAAAATTTTAGGTCCCGGTTTATTGTTTTATTAACATGCAATGAGGTGTAATGTTTTTTTTTGTTGGAAAAATAGTTTGCAAATATTGATTTATACAATTGTAAATATCAAAATCTTATATGCAGGTAAATGGAAGTGATTTATGACACTTAAATGCATAATTTATAATTGAGGTATTTACTGCTCATTAAACTAGGAACCATTAGGGCGAATGGTTCAAATCATGGCTGAACTATGATCATTCAGTCGTTATTAACTCAAAACAATGTTTCAGGGTCAGTAAAAAGGAATATATATATATATATATATATATAATTCAATTCATTGACATGTTCAAAACTCTTGATTAGATTGGCCAAAGAACTGGTTCATCCCATTCATATAGATGATTTGACTAGTCAACTAAAGTTTAGTTTTAATATCAAGTTTATTACAAATACTCTCATATATATTTGCAATACTTTAAATCTACATTTGTAATTCATTTTTCAACAATTCTTTAAAACTAAAATAATAGTAAATTGATCTTTTGGGATCTAAATGTTTTCATTCTAAAAAACGTAAGGGAAAAGAAAATATATTTGCTATATGCGAGAGATAAATATTTTGAAAGGCTGAAATCTTGT